GCAAAGTTGGAATTGATTGATTGAACTTTTTAGTCCCACCCAGTCTGCTGTTACCACCACAGCCACGCCCAGCCAATGGGCCACACCCACCCGGCACTCGACGATGCATAAGTGGGTTTTGGATTGCAGTTTGGGCACTCAGTCTCTAAAAGGTTCGCCATCACTGGAATAGGCTGATAGCCAAACAAGGGTGTCTAACCTTGTCCAACTTTAAGACTTGTGGACTTCAACTCCCAGAATTCTCCAGCCAGCATGCCTGGCTGAGGAATTCTGGGAATTGAAGTCCACAGGTCTTAATGTTGCCAAGGTTGGACACCCTTATGGTACAGCATCCATGAGTCTAGATGGAATCTTGTGCAGGCTCCTTTATCTCTGATAGGATCACTGCCCACTTCAGCTCCAACAGCACAAGCACCTCAAAAAAATCAATAGTGCTAGACCCCACGTATGACTCTATCTCATTTTATCCTCTCTGCAAATATGATTTTAGAGCCTAGCATATCCAATATTGACAACAACGGGGATTTTGTATAGCCCCTCAATAGGAGGGTCTTTCTGAAGAGGCAGATGACACTTTTATGACTCGTGGACTTCAAGTCCCAAAATTCCTGAGCCAGCCATGCTGAGGGGAAAGGGAGAGGTTTCCAAGCTGAGCCATGCTGGCTCAGGAATTCTGGGAGTTGAAGTCCACGAGCCATAAAAGAGCCAAGGTTGCCTACCCCTGCTCTAGGGACAAGGTTTCAAGGCCCCCGGGTACCTGGAGGGGACAGATTTTTTTTTTCTGTCAAGGAACCCAAATCATAAAAGGGGCAGCTAAGGACTTTAAAATATTCTACTCACCAATAAGGTAGCAATGGGGACGTACTGATCTTTCTCTTACCTGCAAACCAGATAAACACGGTACCCTGGGACTCAACAGCTTATGGGGGGGGCAATGGGATGCTAGGAACTGCAGCAACAGGAAACAAGTCCCACACACCATCTGTGAAGTCCCAAGAACCAAGAACAACTTGTGGATGCTACTTAAGAGAAGTTTCCTCTATTGTTTTTCATCTATAGACAGAATCTTGACAGATGAAAGCAAGCATTTGCATAACTGCAGTTATACTCAATCTATTTCCCAAAGCACCAGAAGGCAAGACAAAAAACAATGGTTGGAAACTAACCAAGGACAGAACCAAGCTAGAACTAAGGATAAATTTTTTAATGGTGAGAGCAATCAACCAATAGAATCGTTTGCCTTCAGAAGCTCTGGGTGGTCCATCACTGGAGGCTTTTAAGCAGAGGCTGGATAACCATTTGTCTGCAATGGTATAGGGCAGTGGTTCTCAACCTTTTTAATGCCGCAACCCCCAACCGGTCGTAAGTCGAGGACTAAACCGGTCATAAGTCGAGGACTAAACCGGTCGTAAGTCGAGGACTACCCAACCGGTCGTAAGTCGAGGACTTTCCCTGCCCGGGAGCGCCGTGCATGCGTGGTTCCGCCCCCTGCGCCGGCTGAGGCGTAGCTGGCAAGTGGCAGAGACGGAGCAGGCCGACCACCAGCTGGCCCAGCTCAAGGGAGGTAAGGCACCTGCCGGAAAAGGGGGGAAAAATGACAGACAGCCTTGCTTGGTGGCCCCCGTGAAATGGTCGATCGACCCCAAATGGGGTCGCGACCCATAGGTTGAGAACCGCTGGTATAGGGTCTCTTGCTCAAGCAGGGGGTTGGATTAGAAGTCCTCCAAGGTCCCTTCCAACTACTACTACTACTACTACTACTACTACTACTTCTTCTTCTTCTTCTTCTTCTTCTTCTTCTTCTTCTTCTTCTTCTTCTTCTTCTATCTTCATCATCATCATTATTCTATGTTCTACTCTGAGAAAAGCTAGTGAGGAGCTGTTTAACCCTCTTTCTGTCAATCGAACTTTCCAAGCTCTGCTGCCTCTTTGCCCTCTGAAAAGCAGCCCCTCCCCTCTGGGAATCCAGACTACATTCCACCACATCATTTTAATCACTTCCCGATCAGATTATTGCAATGTGCTCTACGTGGGACTGTCCTTGAGAACTACCATGAAGCCACAATTGAACCCAAATGCAGCGACATGGATGATGGGGATTTCTTGTTATGCAACATAGGACCATACTCTGTGAGCTCCACCGGCTCCCAGTTTTACCCTCCAAGTATAATTTAAGATTATCACCTTTAAGGCCCTACAGGGCACAGAACCAGTGAAGAGTGTGCTTTTTTGCCAGGATGTTGCCTGTTCTACATGCTCTGAGGGTCCCATTCACTGGCATTTTGTAGGTCCCAGGAGGCATGTCTTCTTGGTGGTGGCCCCTATTATACAGAATGACCTTGGCTGACCTTGACCCTGATTGTCTTTAGAAAGGCAGTCAAGATCTGGCTCTTTTTCCAGACCTTTGGGGAAAAAGTTAGCACCTCAACCGGCTGATGCAGTTGTTGCTATTTGCGAGTTATTTATCCATTTAATTTTTATCCAGCCTTTATTTTTTTATAAATAATAAGGGAAACATACCTAATACAGGTAGTCCTCGACTTACAACTATTCATTTAGTAACTGTTCAAAGTTACTACCGCACTGAAAAAAGTGACATGACCATTTCCCACACTTACGACTGTTGCAGCATTCCCTACGATCACATGACCAAAATTCAGAGATTTGGCAATTGGCATGTATTTATGACAGATTGCAGTGTCCCAGGGTCATGTTTTATGACCTTCTGACAAGCAAAGTCAATGGGGAAGCAGATTCCCTTAACAAGCATATTACTAACAACTGCAGGGATTAACTTAACAACTGTGGAAAAATGTTGTAAAATGGAATCAAATTCACTTAAAAAATATCTTACTTAGCAACAGAAATTTTGGGCTCAATTGTGGTTGTAACCTGAAGACTACCTGTACTCCATTCTCCTATTTTCTGCACAGCAATTGCCACTTTAGTTTCGATTCTTTCACTATTGTTTGGAGGTTTCTGTATTGTGGTTTTATATCCTCTTCCTTAGGTTTTGTTAAATGTGCCTTGTAAGCTGCTCAAGATCAGTTTGATTTGAGTTGGGTGGCTATATATATATATATTTTTAAGTAAATAAATAACTAGGAGAAATCACTGGGGAGGATTCTCAGAGTCCACAAATGAATGGGTGTTACTGGGATTGTGCTCTTATTTCTTTACTTACACAGTACACACCTCATTTCCTCAGAAAGTTCAGCCTTACTATCTTCTCTAAGCCAGGGCTTTTCAACCTTTTCACCCATTGTACCACTTTTAGGATATGGCAATATCCGAGTACCACCAGTCGCCTAGCAAGATGTCAAAAACTTGATGATCAAAAAAAAAAAAAAAGGAAAAAAGTGATGAAGTACAGGTAGTCCTCGACTTACAACAGTTCGCTTAGTGACTGTTCGAAGTTACAATGGCACTGAAAAAAGTGCCCCCCAAGCCACAGCCGAGCAAGACACCTGCCTGCCTGCCCGGCGGCGTTCTTCCTCCTGTCCGAGATTTTCATTGTTGTGAGCATTTCTGTTGAGGATTGGCAGCGGGGGTGGGGTGGGGGGGTGTTTGGTTTTTATTCCCCCCCATCTGCTGGGTGGTTGCAGTAGGTTTTGATCACTTCACATGACCCTGGGATACTGTGACCGTCATAAATATGAATCAGTTGCCAAGCATCTGAATGTAAATCACAAGACCCTGGAGATGCTGCAACATTCCAGCTGATCGGCGCTTCTTTTGGGCTCAGCGGAAGCGCCAGGATCAGCGCCGAGCTCCAACTGGAGCCTGGCGCTGATCCTGGCGCTTCCACTGAGCCCTGACAGCCCCAAAGAAGCGCTGATCCTGGCGCTTCTGCTGAGCCCTAACAGCCCTGCAGCTCCAGCCATCTCTCGCTCAGGCTTGTGCGGTGCTGCCACTGGTTCAGCTCATTCCCCTCCCCCGCTACCACTTTTCTAGGATGGTCACGTACCACCTGCCAGGTGCCAATGTACCACAGGTGGTACCCGTACCACTGGTTGAAAAGCCCTGCTCTAAGCACCTCACTTCAATATAAACAGCTACATCGCAAATGAACCCCCAACTGCAACAGCATGTTTAGAATTGCAATTATATTGCCAGTTCCTATCAAATAGAGATAATCCTGTGGGTAATGCAATATTTTTCAACTCTGGCAACTTTAAGATGGGTGGACTTCAACTCCCAGAATTCCCCAGCCAGAATGCTGGCTGGTGAATTCTGGGAGTTGAAGTCCACCCATCTTAAGGTTGCCAATGTGCAAAACACTGTTGTACAGTAATTCATTTCTGTATTAATATAATTAATTTCTCTGAGAGACTACTGTAGATGATCTCCAAAGTGCCCCACTTTATGACAGCCCCACGACGAGATAGGCAGCAAATAAATTTAACCAATAAATTGTACCACACATGTCCCTTTGCATCCAAGTGCTTATTCACTAATGAGTTTACAATTGCAGTACATTTGCAATACATTTCGTAACGCCACCAATCCCATTCTTAAGACCACCTGCAGCCCTAAAGCGGACTTATTTTAGTTCATTGGGAAAAATAACGGCCTCGACCCCGGTGCGGACTTTCCTTTCCGCCAACCAACCCAGGCGCATCCACAGCGCCGTCCAGTGCTCGTCCGGATTTTTTTTTTTTTGCAGCCCAGGCTGGCAGCGCTAAACGGACGTCCTGCTCCCCCGAAGCCACCCGCTCCGCTTCCACCACCCCCCCGCCTGGGAAGGTGGAGACTCGGCGGGGAGGAGGGTCACAGCCTCGGCTGCCCTCCAACCTGACGCTCCCTGGCTGGGCGGAGACCAGGCAGGCGGCTCTTCCCCCACCCTTCCTTCCGTCTCCACGTTGCGCCAGGGCGAGGCAGTCGCGTTGGTGTAGCCAGCCGCTGTATCGGGAGGCCCGGCGTCCGATCTTCGCTTGGGAAGGCCGGGCGAGCCGTTCCGAGAGGCGCCACCGACGGCTCCCCGCTTCTGGAGCGGCGTCATGTCAGGCTTGGATTATCTGGCCGCCGAGTGCCTGATGTCCATCTCCAGCGGGGCCTTGATCCACCCGGCCTCCAGCCTCATCAGCGCGAAAGAAGAGCGAGGCGGGCGTCCCCCTTCCCTCCCCGGCGCCCGCCACCCGGGGCGCCCCGACTCTGAGCTCTCGGACTGCAGCGGGAGCTGCTCCTCTTCGCCCGGAGGGGGCGAGCCGCGAAGCGGCGTCCCGGTCCTGCCGCAGGCGGGGGAGCTTCCCCGAAGAGCCGGCGCTGACAGCCCCGCCAGCCTCTCCGCCATCTCCCCGGCCAAAAGGCACCAGTGCCCTTTCCAAGGCTGCATTAAGGTCTACGGCAAATCGTCGCATCTGAAGGCGCATCTCAGGACGCACACCGGTAAGAGCCTAGCCAAGCCTAGCCAAAGCCCGGGATTGGATCCCGCCTCCCTCTCCCTGTTGCTCCCGGCTGAGACCCCCAACAGGGTGCCCCGAAGCCCTGCAGAACCGCCTCCCGGTCCGCATCTTGCGAGCCCCCTCGGCCGCCCCTGTTCCCGCTTCCTCCCGCCCCGTCTCCACCCACGTGGAGACCGCGCCTCTCTCGGCTTTGGCGCACGGATTTCCTCTCGGGTCCGGGAGGGAGAGGCATTTCGCAGGGCTTGGTCGCTTTCCTAACCTCCCTCGCTTCTCGGGCTCACGATCTCTGCAGGCTTTCGCCTCCCACCCTCTAATGGATCCCTCCAAGGAAAGCAAGATGCCGCCGCCGCCCCCGCCCTGGGGATCCTTGGCCCCACGTGCTTGGGCCGGCCCGCTCGAAAGCGAAAGTGGATTGGAGGAGGGGAGGCGGGGGGGAGACTTTGGCGACCCCCTCCCGATCGGTGCGGGTCTTTAGCCTTAGGGTACTTGCAGGGTAATGCCCCTGCCGATGGCGCAGTAGAGCCTCTGCCTTCCAAAGCAGGCTACCGTAATAGAAGGAACTCCAGGCGCGCCAGGGGAGGTGTTGCCCTCACACTACTACGGCGCTTCCAAATGTAGACTCTGCCTTTCTGGCAGGCGGGGTCCCCCCCCCCGCAAGGAAATGGGGGGGTGGTTGTCTTTCAGGCTCGCTTAGAGCCCCCGCCCCTTCCGAAGGGTTCCTTTGGAGATGGCTGCGAGCTTCAAATCTCGCCCACTCTTGCTGGCAGAGCCTGGAGTTTGCTGCCTACGCCGGACGGTCGGAGAGAGGTGGGGCCATCCGGGGTGGCCTGATTGGGATGGGGGCCTCCCTCGTTGGAACTTAATCCCAGGGCGGGGAGGGAGAGCCAGCCCTGGATTTTTCCCCATGGATCCAGAGCCTCTTCTGCCTGCCCGGCTCCCCCCACCCCCCCCAATGGAAGAGGGACACAAAGGGAGGTACAATTGTCGCTGCACCCGGGGTGGGTGGAGCAACGCGCGAGCATAGAAGCCGCGTGGGTGTGTCCGCCAAACGACCACCTCCCTCTCTCTGCCTTGTCGGTGCGAGCGCAAAGCTTGGCTCTGCAGAAAGGAGAGGAGATAAAAAATCATTAAAAAAAAAAAGAGCTGAATTTTGCCAAGAAGAGCCAGGGGTCCAGCAGCTAAGATCCATTATTTCAGTGTTTCTCAACCTTGACAATTTTAAGGCATGTGGACTTCAACTCCCAGAATTCCACAGCCAGCTTTGCTGGCTGTGGAATTCTGGGAGTTGAAGTCCACATGCCTTAAAATTGTCAAGGTTGAGAAACACTGCATTATTTGGAGTCACCTCTTTGCCGTGTGCTTGGAACTCACTCCCAAGAGAAATAGTCCGTGGGGCCCTGAATGAGGTTCCTCGGAAAGGACCAGTGTAATCTGAAGTGTGGGTGTGGGGCTGGGAAGAGGAGGAGTTGGTTCAAACTAACCCTCCGTGAGGAAATCCACCGGTGACCTTCAGAAGTCCTTGCTCAAGTTGCCCTACTTTTGCAGGGGTGTTGGGAGGGCCAGCAAATGACTGATGCCATCTTGTGGAGGATGCTGACTCGGTGGGGTTCGCTTCTCAGGGACCACACCTTCCAAAACTGGGTACGAAGTCAGTGCAGATGTGTTAAATGTGGTGTGGCTTGGGTGAGTTTATGAGAGGCTAGTTACTGCTTGGTTTGTACAGAACAAGGGCTTGTACAGAAGACAAGTTGGCTGCTGAGACCGTTCAACTAATGGGGTGGGTTTAAAGGAGGACTCTCTCGGGCAGTTCTTCCCAACCTGGCTGTGTTTGCCACTCTGCAACTACAACTCCCAAGATGCCTCGCTGCGATCTTCCTGTATTTCTAATGTGCTCAATGTTTATCCATCTGTGCATGTAAAAGGAGATGGGGCTGAAAAAAAGGATGAATTTTGATAGCAGGGATCCTTTGAATGTGCCAGGAGAAACCTCGGCTGCTTGTTTTGCATCAGCTATGTTTGGTGCCCTTAATCCTCTGGTGGGCGGATAGCTGGGTTAAGCAGCTGGCAGGATTGTGTAGGCAAAGGCATAAAAGCTTGATTAAAAAAAAAAACACAGTGTGGGAGAGGCTTTCTTTGCCCAGATGCTATCATGTTTAAAGTTGGTGGTTTCTCCGATCTTGCTGAAGCTGGCACATGAATGCATTTACAAGCTGTTAAGTACACAGGGTCTTGCAACAGTCGGCCACTTGTGCAGACCTGTTCCATATGCAGAGATTTGGACATGATATTTTTCTAACTTTTAGAAGAAAGCCAAAGGACAGTATTGCAGGGTCATAAAGACCCTGGACAGTAAGGCACTGGATATAAAGGGGAAAGTGTTAAGTGGGGAAAGCCAAATGCCCCGAGGCTGGCAGTGGGCAATAAATCCAGCAAAAATGTGTTATTCCATGCCTGCACTCATTTAATTATTGTTATCCTGCCTTTATTATTTTAGAAGTAACTCAAGGCAGCAAACATAGCTACCGTAGTACTCCTTCCTCCTCTTATTTTCCCCACAATAAGCCTGTGAAATGGATTGGGCTGAGAGAGAGTGACTGACCCAAAGTCACCCAGCCAGCTTTCATGGGTAAGGTGAGACTAGAACTAGAGAGCCAGTTTGGTGTAATGGTTAAGGCACCAAGCTAGAAAGTGAGACACCCACACAGGCACAAAAGCCAGCTGGGTGACTTTTGGCCAGTCTGCCCAACCCTCTTCACAGGGCTGTTATTGTGGGGAAGATAGGAGGAGGAAGGTGTGTTGGATATGTTTGCTGCCTTCATTTATTTGTAAAAATAAAGGTGGGATATAAAAAATAAAACAAAACAAAATAAACTCAACAGTTTCCTGGGCCTAAAGTCACCCAGCCGTCTTTCATGCCTAAAACAAGACTAAAACTCACAATCCTTATGCCAAACTGACTTTCATGTGACATAATGGAAAGCTGTGAAGTCATTTGGTGCTTTGGTTTTTGTAACTATGTCCTGTTCTTCAAATTGAAAACTAATCTTGTCCCCTAGTGAAATTGTCCTCAGTTGGAGATTGAAATGAGGTCTTTGCAGATGTAATTTGGGCAGAAGGCAAAGAGCAGGAACGAAATGTACTCCCTGTGATTTAATAACAACAATCAACACCAGGCAAGGGACCTCTCTTCCTTACGTTAAGTTGCTGAGTTGCAGAAAGTTTAATGAAAAAGTGGATTTGTATGTGTAAGAAATGGAAGCTTGGTTCCAGGACTAGAAGAATACCAGTTTGGTCTAATGGTTAAGGCACCAGGCTCACTGGCTCTCAACCCAACCCACCTACAAGATTGCTATTGTGGGGAAAATAACACGAGGAAGGTGTGTTGGATATGTTCAGGGCTTTGAGTTACTTGTAAAAAATAATAAGGGTGGGATGGAAATAAACTAACAAATATTTAAAAAAACCTATTGGGTCAAATGTGGGCCTTGCTTTGATTTGTTCTGCCTTCATCCTCTGCTACTGATTTCCACAGCATTTGTTTGCATCTGTCAAAGTTAAAAAGGGGCAGAATTTCCATGCTCTATCCAGCAAAATCCTTTTTTCTTCAAAAGAAAACTTCAAAAAGCATTTTTCTTTCAGTGGGTTTTACAATAAATGAAGGTTAACTTTTCTTCTTGGTGCTAGTCTTTTTCTTAATCGTCCTAAAAACTTGCAATCCTACTTTTCAACTTTTTCCACGTATTGTGTTACGTTTTAAAACATGTTTTTGTTTTCCCAACTTTCTTCCTTGTGCCAGGAAATCTCTATCTAATTGATGATGATTTGGGAGGGTGTTTTTGTTTTCTTTTTTTCATTCATTATTTTAGAAGAGGACAAAATATAGGCAAAATACCAAGATACACTACAATAAGTAAGTTTAGTTAAGCAATCCTTTACTTTAGTTAAGCAAACCAGAAAAAAAGTGAGAGAACGACAAAGAAAAAAGGTTTGTCTTATATATTAAAGTTTACAGTCATTGGTTTACTAAAATACCACATAATATAGTAATCAGATACAAAATATTACTCTAAAATTATCCTAAAATCTATACCACAAAAGAATTTGCTTAACCTTCTGATTGGTGGAAAATGTTGCCTTCTCCAGAATGGATAAATTACATATTTCCAAATGTCAGTCTTTAATATCTGGAATAATACTGGAAATTCGCCAATCTCTCTAGATTATTATTTTAGTCTCCATCCATGTGGAGAGTGTGAGGCTGATTTCTCACAGTCAACTTCCAGAGTTTTGTTCTATCCTTTAACATCACACTGACATCTTTAAGGATTTCTCCATAAATCTATTTAGGTATAGGTAGCCCTTAACCTTATGACCGTAATTGGTTCCAGAATTTCCATTGCTAAACAAGATGTGGTTAAGTGATTAACACCTATTTTATGATCTTATTTGCCACAGTTGTTAAGTGAATCGCTTCGATTGTTAAGTGAATCACCTAGTTGTTAAGCAAATCCAGCTTCACTTGTTGACTTTGCTTATCAGAAGCTGGCTGGGATGGTTGCAAATAGTGATAACTTGACACTGGGAGTCTGCAACCATTGTGAATACATGCTGGTTACCAAGCACCTGAATTTTGATCAAATGACCATGGGGATACCCCAGTGGTTGTAAATGTGAGGACGAGTCTCTCTTTTCAGTGCCATTATAATTTCAAATGCTTGCTAAAGGAATACTTGTAAGTTGAGGGCTTACCTGTACATTAAACTGCTATGCCTAAAAAGTGTCAAATGTTTACTGGATGGGTCAATAAACCTTCTCTATATCTGAGAGCTTGTAGTTTTATGCAATGTGCACTTGCTTTTTTTAGGAGAAAACTGTGTGTTCCCTATCCAATCATTTTCTCCAATTGCCACTTATTCATTTATATCAAGGCAAGATAAACTGAATGACTAGATTACTGGTGCCAACTGGAGTTGAACATTTATA